CTTGGGACTGTGGGATTTAAAATTTTATTATTCCAGTCTTCGTAAACTATGCAATCAGCAGAAAGTGTAAGTTAATCTTGCAAACAATTCATGCATCCCCGCCACAAAATTGCTAACTCTCTTGATGCCTCCCAGGAACCATCTTGTTTATCCAGGAAGAGAGTATATCACTCAAATCGCGAGATTCGACCAGAGCAAAGGCATTCCCGACGTCATTGAATCTTACAGCAGATTGTGTAATCGCTTAATCAGCGAATATCCCGAAATTCTACCCCCCCAGCTACTGATGTATGTCGAACCCTATCCTGCTGTGAAAGCCACTGCTTTTTGAATAATTTTGTATTAACATATTATAGTTGTGGACATGGAGCTATCCATGACCCAGATGGTGAGATGGTTTTTGAGGAAACTATACAATTGCTTAAAGAGTCGAGATATGCTGCGATTGCGAACGATGTGGTTGTCGTGAGAATTGGGCCTTGTGATCAAAGTGGGTCTTCTTCCGGGATGAAATTTCTGCGAACAAATCTGACATATTATTATCCTAGTGTTCAATGCAATGATAACCAAGGCGAAAATTGTTCTGCAACTATCCTTGCGTGGAGCATTCGAAGTCAAGGTTTCAGAGGCCTTGCATCATGGAAAGCCTGTTGTCGCCACGAGAGCCGGCGGCATCCCTTTGCAGATAGAACACGGAAAATCTGGGTTTCTCGTTGAGGTTGGCGATACTGAAGCTGTTGCCAACCACCTCTTCAATTTGTACACCGACAAAGATCTCTACGCCAAGATGAGTCAGCATGCAAAGGCCAGTGTGAGCGACGATGTTGGAACCGTGGGTAATGCTGCCTGTTGGCTTTACCTTGCCTATAAGCTCTCGAGGGGCGAAAAAGCTCTCCAGCCTTATGCTAGATGGATCATGGACATGGCGATGGAAGAAGCTGGCCAAGAACATGAGATTGGTGAACGGATACTCCCGCGCATGGCAGCTGATTATAAAGGAAAAGTCATACCCTAAATCAGTACACCTTTCATATCAAATTGTGAGGTCAGATATTATTAACCAATAATGTACTTAGCTTGGAATTGGGTTCAGGTTATTACCAACCAAGTGCTCATCCATCGCAATACAGATATCTTTTATTATTATCAATCTTGTGCTCTGGACAAAAGTGAGCTAAATGAAGTAATACATCCAAATAGAAACTTCTAGAATAGTTGTAGTCTCTTGTTACTTCGCTCACCCGGATAACTGAAAACAGATCCATCGAAGACCTGTAATTGTATAAAAGCAATGCGAAACCAAAAAGTATGAAATACTCATCATTTGAAACTGTTCTCCGATACCCTTCTGACCATTCCTATTTTCGATCTCCGGGGGTCTCTCCTCTAGCATGCTAAGTTTTACCTCAGTTGCATAGATGATACTGCCCTATATCCAGTTCATCCGAGAACTCTCTTTTTTATATCGTTTCCACCACTATTGCGTGAGGAGTTAACGACAACATTGATCGCAGCGTAACCAAAATGCAAACCTCATACAGGTCAAGGATTTTAACTGAGGCGGACCCTATAGTGATGCCATAGCTTTAAGGCAGAATTCAGAAACCAGAAAAATTTGCTTTGAACCAGCTTGACACAAGGCCCCCCATGAGTTTTAAACACCTAATAGCCGGTTACTCTACACTCCTATTCGCTTCGATCATAGTCGGCAAACCCAATCGTTACTCCAAAGCAAGTGTTACGCACTTTTCTTTTTTTTTTTTTTTTTTCTTTTTGGAAAATAGGTTTACATAATAGTATCAATGCTCTCAAGTATGGGTACCGTATTTACTCGGTCGATTTTCTAGCTCCATCGGCCTAGATAGGTTTAGCACAGCAAATTAATATAATTGCGAAAGCTAGTTAATGAGATCCGCATGGATCTTTCGCCATTTAAAGTCATTTGAATACAAGGAAACCACTTATGTACCCCTAAGCCCAGAATCATTCCTAGGCTTGCAATTGTGTATTGGGAGAAAGGAACTTTATTAGTTGCCTTTCTTGCCAAGGGTTTCTTGCCCTAGTGATTGATGAAGCTCAGGAAATTGTCTCCCTACACCATTTGCCGCTATTTTCCCGGGAATATGATAGCACATAGCCATGTCCACAAAGCGCCCGCTCTATTTCTTGCACTTTAGAGCAATGACTATCCACAGAAGGATAGCAACAGGCTCTCAGACCGCCAGTGAACTGAAATACCTGGTCCGTCCATCTTTGGGTAAGGACGGGTATCTTGGTGTCCTTCCGGACCACTGCCCCGGACGGGCAGGCGGGCCCTGAATGCTTTCAGGATGCTATAAGAATGTGCCAGGTTTCTACCGACGTCGGGAGGTGACGGAAGGTGTCGGTCGGGCCGTGTGGGTAATCGCGGAACCCCATTGATGACCGCCTGCCGTCCTAACCCACCCTGCCCCAGAAACCCAGGACCACCTTTCGCCAGTGCTCTATAGGCTGCCCGGAACAGTTGGGAAAACCGGATGGCTATGCCAGTCTTCTATCAATCGGAGAGCCAAACCGGGTCTTGTGTGATAGGACTTAAAAGGTTTTTGGCGAGGTTGTAATAGCCATGAGGCATGGTCCCCGGCACCCCGTACCAAAACATCCCGTACAATACAATTACTCTTCCCTGATACCAGTATTATGTGAGCTACATATATATTTACTGTTTGGCAGAGCCAACTCGGAAATTTCCTAAGGGTAGGAAATCGCACTACAGGCTAGGATTGTATCAAGGTAGGGGGGTCAAAAATAAAAACAATAATGTCAAAAAAAAAAAAAGCTTACCAAATTGATTCCGAGTGATCGAACATGATTGCGCCAATTTTCAAGACTCGGAATCTACCTATGTCTAAATTTGTATGGATCGGATGGAACACTAGAATGTACGTCAACTGTTTCTACACCTACATAACTGGGCCGACGTGTCATCTTAACCACTATTATTATATGGCACCGGCGGTCAGAAAAAGCGCTGCGCGCAGATACCAAGTGCGCTCCTATATCCCCTTCCAAAAGGACTGTCTGTATCTGACTTGTTAACTAGAATCGGAGACGGAAGACAGAGTTTTTGCAATGCCGGAATCATTGATATGATGTGTGCCGGAGGACCATGAAATGGAGATAAAGCACACTTAGCGGAACGGATGAGAAATCACCAATCAGATATATTATCCTGGTACCGGTATCACTGCACCGGCATAATAACCAGGGACCGGGGTCCCGCCATGAGACCGAAGTGGTGAAATAGTGGTTGGAGATATCCACAGCTTGATAATCGGATGATGGCTGTGGATGATGGATGCGTGAGTGGTCAGGCTATCCGATTTCAGGAATATATTGGGCAATTGGAAATTTCCCGGTGCACACACTACGTTCAACTCTCTAAGCCTTATCTACATACCGCAATCATTTTCGTGACAAATATCCGCAGATATCTGTGGCGCATTTGAAAGTATTCAAGGATATTACCAGATATCCACTTCCCATTGACAGAGCATATAATCAACTGACTTCATGGCATAGACCAAAAGACTCTTGAGGCCGCCAAGCACACACATGAAGCGTGAAGAATTCGGAAAAGCGGGATCCCCCCCCCGCAAAAAAAAAAAAAAAAAAAAAAAAAAAAGACCACACGAGGATCCCACCTTGACTTAGCCTGGCCATCCGCAAAAAGTAGCTATGAGAGGCCACAGGCGTAAGGCCAGCTATAGTATATTGTGCTAAGAAGCTTTACAAAACAGCGGAAGAAATTCCGTCGGTTCCAGTACTCGAGTACAGTACCAGCAGGAAATGCGTTATCTATGATAGCCCTTCTGGCACGCCCGACAAAATAAAAATAAAATATCAACAAATCAACAAATCAACAAAACACAAGCTAAAAAGCCGATAACCGGTGTGGAAATTATTTGACGACTTTTCCCCTCCAGATAGCAGATCGACCAAGCACACCTGTGCTGAAGAAATGCCGCTTGTGACCCACTTGCTATTGGGAGGCTGTGACGATAAAATAGACCCCAAATAGATATTAATACGGTGTAATGTAGTCGAGATGGTAAGAGCGAATCAAGGATAAAGCTATAGCCAATGGAGGTGGAGTAAAGGTTGAACTGAGTGCCACAACGAACATGTGGTTATACAAGCATCATACTAGTCTAGCTAACGAAATATGAAGGCACCTACGAGGATCGTGCGGAAAGTTCTGTGCGCTGCTAAACCATCCACTAACATGGGACACCCTCCATCAGGATACCACCATTCCACTGCTCAAGACCGCCCTATCCAATTGCCCTTGCTCATACCGGTACGAACAGCCGTTGATGCAGAAAAAATTTGAGCAAAACCAGTGCAGTGAGTGGCAGAGCGAAACTACCACCTCCTGAATGGGATGAGATCCTGTTGATCGGGTGAGACGGCCTAGATGACAGCATGAGTCAATCCAAGGTAACTTTTGGGGGAATTGCCGTATGGCTAAGAGGGAGGAGGGCTTCCAAAGTAGAGTACTGTACCGCTCTTCCTGCACAGTTTCCGAATGGAACGCTTTCCAGGTATATCTCCCCTCCCCAGCTCACGAGCCAATGCGTAGCAGCCATTAAGATTACAAGCTTCACTCCCAAACTCACTGATGAATCGTGATGATGATGTCCCTAATTGTAACAGGGATATTCTCATTACCTTAATTTCCTCTTTTTCATCCAAGAATTTCTCTCATCTCAGAGTTGGCGGATATTGCCACTACCGGTATGCCACACCCATCACTACCGATAACCGTATTCAATATAATTTATTTATATACACCCCAATTCCCCTCTGTTCCGTGTCATTCCGGTTGCTCCCGAATGTATTATAATGGTTAATCTAGGTCAGGAGGGAAGGACAGCTCCCAAATGAGCTTATTAGAACTAAGCAGAATCATGTTCCCTCCCGAGTTGGACTGTACCGTGCTGTTTCTCTCCCATTGATGTGAGAATATTTAAGCTTCCGCTTCGCGAAGCGAGACCACGACCCCTAGAGTTTTTTATACTGCTTAGTCAGTATCGAGGTGGAAAGGGGTGGAAGACAACTAGCAGGCTGGATTCCGCTTTATGAAGACTCATACGGGGAGAGACAAAACGATCACAATATCACCAGAATTATCAAGCAGTCTCCTCATGCTTTCCCTTCCAGCAATCATCCACCAGACGAGGTGTGCTGCATTTACGAGGTATATACAGCCTATTTTCATAAACTACATTACCCGGGCAAAGTAACTAGTCAGTCCCCAGAAAAGCAATCATCCAGCCAATTCCACGCCCCTCCCGCGTCACCACCATCACCATGTACGCTGGGCTCCGGGCTAGCAACCCAATTCCCAAAATCCCACTCAGGAATCAACCTATTACTCTCAACGTATCCCTCTTCAAGCACTTTCCTCGCGCCCTCCGCGCCAACGATGGGTAAATTCATGGCATCCAGCAAGCCCACCTGTGCCAGAACACTTGCTTGGTCCCTATTCCACGCTGATCAAAATCCAGGATCCCCTCAACATCGAAAAAGAAAGAATGAAAGAAAGAAAGAAACGACCAACCAGTAGATGTGCTCGTGATAGAGTTTCCCGCCGCGGATGCACACGATGCTCACGAGTGCGATCTCGACAACTCGGTTGGTGGGTGGAATTCCCGGCAGCATCCAATCGATGCGGGTGTCGTGACGGAACCTTGCCACCATCTCATCCACGATCCTGTCCGAGCCGACAGTCCTGGAGACTAATTTCATGGTCAAGGATGGCGGATTTAGAGGGATGAAGTGGTACTTGTAAAAGTGGTAGAGGTTTTTGTAGCCTACTCCTCCGGTGCCTGGGTCCCCCACTCCCCCCACCCAGCCAAAAAGTTAAATAAAATGTCAATTAACCCAACAATAACAAAGATATAGACAAGAGGAGAACAATAATTACAAGTGGGAACATGGTTAACATAGGGCTCCTCAACCATAGTCGCCATAGTCCTGTCGACATCCTTCTCGACAAATTCATAAAGCATATGCTCGTCCCAGATCCCCTCAAGATCAACCTCCGGTCCCACCGTCTCCCGCAACACCGCCAGACTGCGGGAATAGGCAAGATCGGCGGCGATCTTATCGTAGTTCGCACCCCCACCTCCCTCCTCGGCGAAGCCGGCCTCCACGCCCTCATACACACTGACCTTAACCCTCCGTCCCGAGAGCGAGAAGGGTGCGGAGGCGGGCAGGTGTACGAGTATCTTGATGCCCGGGTGGAACCCCCTGGGGGCGCTTGGCAGCATGGGCGGGTAGTATGCTATGACGGCGGTGAGGGATGGGAGCGACGACGTGGCGAGGGAGAGGGCGTGGAAGGCGCTCTGGCCGAAGGCGAGGAGCGCACATTTGGTGTTTGGCTCGATGTCGTCCGTCGCGTTCTCGATCCTGCGCGTGTTGGCGAAGGGGAGGTGGAGTACTGCGTAGCCCTCGGCTGCCCAGGGGGTTGTGTTGAAGTGGGCCGTATCTGTTGCTATTATGAGGGTTGGAGGGGGGTGGGCATCCATGTCTGGCCTTTCTCGTTATTCGGATTGGGGGTGGGGGGATAAGTAGGAGTACTCGTAAATTAAGTGGGCGAGGTGCGGTGGTATGGATGTGGATGAGAGGGGAGACTGATGGGCTTTTTAGCTGCTGATGATAGGGGTGGTCCTCGGATTGAACCATGACACAACTTCATCATCATCATCATGCATAAATAAATAAACTTTGCCGAGCTCGCTTAACTCACCGATCGTGGCAGATGAGGGAGATTCCAGTATGTGGTGCACTCGAGTAGTTGGGGAGAGAGGTTGCACCGGTACTTTCTTGGCGCTCACCTGAAATCAGCATTCGGGTGGATTCAGCACCCTCGTGCGAGTTATAGTATATCCTACTTGTACAAGCATAAGTTAATAGGTCCCAATTCGGCCTTAGTCTATATTATCTTGGTATGGGCAAAATAGGCAAAATTCACAATCACGAAAGACAGGTACTTAATCAATCATATGGTGTAGCAGCTCTGTTTAATACCGCCCTGTAGACTAACACTCTCCTTTCTTTCAACAAGCCACCCGCCCACCTTTCCCCTCCCCGCCAACCACACACAGGCTGCTGGTGCGGCGCGCGCGCGGTAAACGGGCTGATCAGCTTGGAATGGCGGTGCAATAGTGCAACGCAGCAATGACGAATAACGGCCCATGAATGTTAGGCAGCAGCAGCACACATCTAACACCCTACTCCACCCAGCCCAGTACGGGGAAAACCTCTTTATTGACTCAGCGACTGCACCAGGGTGGAGCAGTAATGAAAATACTCCCCGCCTCTTCAATCCTTAAGGCCCTTTTAGATACAGAGGGTCGACAAAATACCCACCGCCTCCCAAGGACCAAAGCATCAGCGAGGGCCAGAGCATCAACAATGTCCAAACCAATACCCCTCCCATCGCCACCCACCTCCCCACCCCGCCCGCTCTCGGAAAACGCCACAGCTGCAACAACGACCGCACCACCACTCCCCCTCCGCGAGATGGTAATCTCGCCCGTGGGTGACATACTCCTCCACCTACTCACACCTACCCACACCCTGCACTACAAAACCTCGGCGAGTGTGCTAATCACCACGTCGAAGGTCTTCTCCGCAATGTTGAGCCCGACATCCCCTTTCTCCGAGGCCCAGCGCTTCAACAACTCCCCCCACTCGACGCATCCGTTCGTGCTAAGGCTCCATGACGATGACCCCGTAGCCCTCTGCATCCTCTTGAAAGCTCTGCACAACCACCCATCCGTTCCCCGTTCGCTGACCTTCAGGCAGCTGGTCAAGATGGCCGTCGTGGTGGACAAGTATGATTGCTCCCACGCCACCAGAATGTACGGCGATAAGTGGATGAAGGGCTGGACCTCCAAGGCTGAGAAGGCGGGGTACGAGGAGTGGTTGTTCGTGTCGTGGGTGTGGGGCGTGGAGAAGATTTTCGGAAAGCTTTTCGGGAAGGTGGTAAAGGAGGTGTGCGTCCAGAGGGTCGGCGGGGGCATGGACAAAATTCCCGTTCTCAAGGAGAGGAAAGGTGGGGGCGGGTTCGAGGAGTATGTGCCTGAGAGTGTGTTGAGTATGTGCCCATCCCTACCAACCAACCAACCAAACAATGAGCTCCGCCGGGTCGCTAATGAAGGATACGTCATCGCAGAAGCGATATTAAACCACCGCTCAAACCTCCTCACTCACTTGAAGACCGTATTTGCCTCCCTTTTCGAACGCTACCGGCCCTCCCCTTCCCTCTCACAACTGTCCCCTCAGTGCGCTGCCACGCCCCCTGACCCCCGCTGCGATGCTCTGGTGTTCTTCAGCGTGTACCGCAAGCTCTCGGAATTGAACCTCCTGCCGTGGAACACCATTGATGACTTGGACGGCTTCACAATTGATGAGTTGGTGGGCTGGATCCTCCACACAACTCCATCTTCGAGCATCTCGGGAGCGGGTGGTGGGATGAGACTCCTTTCCTTGGAAAAGCACGGAAAGGCATGTAATCCGCTTGAGCAACTCGCAGCGCAGGTCAAGCTGGCCATGGCCGCGAGTGGGGGCAACGGGGAGAGGGATGTGTGGGAGTTTAGGGCACGAGAGGAGGAATCTTCCTGGGAAGAGATCGGCAAAGAGGTTGGCATCTAGTGGCGAATTCACGACCGATCACTCGTACAGAATTTTTCCGGTGTCGGCCCCCAGCTAACACAAGTGATGCCAGAGGGTGTGGCATGTCATCTCTGAGGGATTTTCTGTGTACTTAAGAGACTTCTTTTATTCCAGCTAGGAGGTTGGGCTGGTCATTTATCTCGGTTCACAAAAGAAATAGCTCTCAAACGGTAAGTTTACATAGCCTATGACGGAACACAACACAAATATAACACGGTACGGAATCAAAAGCGTTTTCATGCCAAGGGATCGAGACAAGAAATGAAACCCTTGTTATTTGTCCGATCAACAAATAAATGGATAAAAAATAAAGCCGAAAAGTGAGAGATGAGTTTAGCGAACAAAAGAAAAGCGGAAGGAAAAAGAGAGAGAAAAAAAAAGAGAAAAATAAGAGGAAAGCCCAAGACTTGTCTGTCAGCTGACATCTGGTGGCTGATCTCAGTACAGTCGAGTGCAGTAGTTTAGTAGTAACACACGGGTTTCGTTAAGAATAAAATGCCCCGAGGAACCCAAGAGAACAAGAAGCGTAAAAAAAGAGAAATAGGAAAAGCGAGGAGAAATCCAAAGATCCCTAGTACGGAAAGGAATTTGAAATAAAAGCCACGGTAAAAGTGTGATCGACCGTACCGACGTCCATAGTTGTGGGATTCGCCGATGGTTTAGCCAACACAGCGAGACCAGCCTAGAGTCTGCGTTAGCCCAATTTGCCAATCCCAAGAAGCGGGATAAGGGGAGACAAACCAGGAAGCCCACAGCCCATCCCGACGAACAAGTAAACCAAGAAGATGACTACGAATACTAGCAATATCATCAACTATTTTCTCGTTAGCGCTCAAACATTCAAAAAAGGGTTCAAGACAAACCTTAGTATTCTTCCACCACATCCTCCTCCTGAGCCCACGACTCCGAACCCTAAATTCCATGGCCCCACTCTGCAATCCAGCAGTCTTGTCGACAAGTAAATCGATCCGCTCCCCCCTCTCCAGCACCCTCTCGATATTCTCCGTCATAATACCACGTGCGCTCTCAATTTCCCTCTGAGCCTTGGCCACGACGTCCTCGTTCTCGCCGCCGGCCTCGAACTGGCGCATGGTGGCGCCGAGCGTGGAATTGAACTCGGCACATCCGTAGGGCGGGGCGTCGGCGACGGCACTGGCGGGGTACTTGCTCGTGAAGAGGCGCTGTATCTCGAGGAGGTAGCCGAAAGGTAGTTTGCGCCCTATATGGGCTGCGGAGATGACCAGAAAAGTCTGACCGAACGGGGTGGATTGCGAGGAGGCGGTCGCGATGTAGTGGATATTATGCTGACCGTGGGTGTAGGTGAGCTTCTGCGGGCTCGTGTGCGTGATTTTGGGGAGGATGAGCGAGGCGAGAGATGAGGCGTTTGTGGATGCGGCTCCGCTAGGGGAATATTCAGAGAGGATGGTGGTGCCATGGGCGACGCATGCGCTGTAAAGTGAGTGAGCTGTGGTTTGCTGGCGGGATGAGGGGGGGGGCTTACTAGAGAAGCGGCGTGGAAGAAGATGAAGACGACATTGGGTTGAGGGAAGATGTCGATGAATCTTGTTTTGCTTTTTCCAGCAGGTCTTTTATTGAGATGATGGGCCGTGATGCGTGGTGCTCACTGTTCGATCACGGGTTAAATAGTTGGTAGGTGAGTTGGTTGGCTAGTCAATAGTGGTGGTGGGTGGGGGTTTGCGTCGGAGCTGAGCATTGGAAATAGGACTGAGGGTGGGTGACCTGATGACGATGTTCTCTCACATCGTGATTATGTAATGAAGTGTATTGCGTCATATTGGCTCACTCGTTTAAGGCTTTTGCAACGGGATTGGCTTGTGAAGTATGATACTCGAGTAGCCTATGATCGTGGCGCCAGGGGTAAGAGCCGGTATCTAAAGTTTCCGCAGCCGCGAGTGTCACACTTTGACCTGGGAAGAGGCAATGCTCCACTGTAAGTAGAACCAGGCTTGTTGATGCCGGGTCGGCAATACAAGGATAAATAAATTATATTGAAAACCAAGCTGCAATTGGGCCCTCGCGGGTGGCAGGGATTGCCCCAGTGTGTACTAGAAAACAATTGTTCTGTAATAACGCCAATTTATTTACCCAGTTCTGGAATATCAAGTTTGAAAAATCGGACGGGGAGAATTTGTGGTGTAGACTGAAAACTACAAGATGGGGCAGCCGTCATCAGGGTAAGAATGACACGCCCTTGGTGCTAGTCCAACCTCTCTCAGCATATTCACAAGATATAATTATGATACGCAAAGCTGCAACAGGTCTACCCAAATCAAAGATTTTCTCATCCAATATTAAACTCCGATGCCATTCCCCGCTTCATCTGCATACTAAAGGCAATCTTCCGCATCTTCCTTACTGCTTCTAGGCCCGCGTCGACCGGTGAATCATCCATATGCAAGTTTCTTTTCGCGCCCACTTTGGTAGAGGTAGCTGTAGTCGCCGAACCCGTAGTATTCCCCCTCCCTTTCCCGCCACCGGTTCCGCCACTCCCGGGAACTTTAATATCCCCCGGCGCATCCCTGATCCCAAAACTCTTCGCCAAATGTCCGTAATGCAAGACTTTATGATTGAAAATCCCCTTCTCAGCGGCAACATGTGTGGTGTACGCACGGATATGACTTCCCCACGCCCTCTTTGCTAGGTCCATCACCGCTTTATCTGCCAACACCCACCTCTCAACTTCCAACTGCCATTCCGTAGCTTTGCCCTCCCACTTCCGCTTATTCTTGTTCGTCCCTTCTCCCCCGAAGCCCTTACTGAATACCTCATCCACGTCCACGCGTATGGGGCTTCCGCACTTTTTTAGAACTGCATCGACGTAGCCTTCCTCCGGCCCCGGCAGTAAGAACATGACGGCCCGCCCGGCGCGCCCCGCACGCGCAGTACGGCCGATGCGGTGGAGGTGGTCGTCACGGGAGAACGGAGGGTCAAATTGGATTATATGGTCGACGTTCGGGAGGTCCAGCCCGCGGGCAGCGACATCGGTGCAGAAGAGAAGAGAGGGGGAGGTTGTGTGCGCAAAGGAGTTAAGAGTGGAGGTTCGGATTGGCTGGGGGAGGGAGCCGTGGAGTTTATGGAGGAGGGCGGTGGGGTGGAGGTGCGGGGTGCTGGCAATTGTGGGGTTGTTCTGTGGAGGCTGTTTTATGGACTTTCCGGGATGATCCGGTTTGAGTTCTGAAGCGTGAGGTTCTGTAGAGTATTTTTCAGAGACTTTGGAGGCTTCTGTGGGTTTTGGAGGTTTTGGCGGCAGGGCATCTGAATCATGTTCCAATGAGCGAGAAAATACTTGAAAATGAAAGTCCACCGAATCCGAGCAAGAGAAAAAGACAATAATCTTTGGACTTGTAGTCTGTCGTATAAAAGCTCTCTTAAGTATCGCATTCAACCCCACCAACCTTAGCTTTGCCGGTATCAAAACATAACTCTGCTTCAACTGCGCCGGAGCCTGGAACCCTTCCTCCTCACTCTTACCGCCCCCGCCCACATCCTCATATCCCTTCTCCGCCTTGATGTATAGCGCCTCCTTCAAAGAGATATCCCCAAGCCGCTGTACGTTGGTCTTCATGGTCGCCGAACAGAGTATCGACACCCTCCTTCTCGGTAATCCCGGTTCGTTCTTCCAACCCGTTGTATCCTCCACTTTCTTCGGCAACTTGCTCTTCCTTTCTAAAATGCCTAGGATACTCCCAATTGTCTCCTCGAACCCCAACTCCATAAGCCTATCACCTTCATCAAGAACGACCCACCTCACCCGACTAATATCCAGGCTCTCCGTATTCTGCAGGTGATCCAATAGCCTCCCAGGCGTAGCAACAAGTATATTGATCCCCTTCCTCAATCGCGCCTTCTCACTCTTCTTTTTCTCACCGCCGCTGACAGCACCCGGGACAATCCAGTGAGGGCCGTTCTTACAGTGGATTAGTGTGGATAGGACTGTCGATATTTGCCGGCACAACTCACGGGTCGGGGCGAGGATAATAGCGTAGAGGCCTGAATGTCTGGTCTGCTTTGCCACACTCTCACCATCTTGCGAAGCAGAAAGAGGGGGTGCAGAAAGGCTCATGATACGGTTTACTATTGGTAACAAATAAGTCAATGTTTTTCCGGACCCGGTCTCAGCTTGTATGAAAGCGTCGCTGTCGGTGGATACTAGCTCAGGGATTGCAGATCGCTGGATGGCGGTGGGTGTTTTGAGAGCTAGTTTTGCTGTAAGGTGATTTGCGAGTACGGGGGATAGTCCTAATGTTGTGAAATTGGTAGATCCATCCGTTAACGGAGCATTTGATGGCTCATTCGCTTTTCCTTCCACTTCTTTGTCACCCGTGACAGCACTCATAGCTTCGGGATTCCCGGTCCATAAGGAGGATACAAACTCCCCTGTCTTGATAGCCTGCAACGCGGGTTTCTGCTTGGGCTTTTTGTCTCCTGGCTTGTGCTTTACCGCTGTTGTTGCGATTTCGGAAGCGGTAGTAAGGGTGGTTTGGGCAATGTTGAATTCGGCGGCTTCGATCGCTCTCTTCTTGGCGCGGTGCTCAATAGCTTTCTTTGCTTTTAATCGGTCTTTCCAGCGACCGCCTTTGAATTTTGGGACCGCAGTTGTGAAGGCATCCGGGCTAATGTCGAAGTTAACTACCATCCTATCGTCAGCCATCTTGAGGGGTTGTGGGGACACAATTGCTTCCGGTGTTATGAATGAGAAGGGGTGATGTTGGTTCCAATTATTTCATGGGGAGTTGCCAAGCGTAAAGTTACCCTACCCAGAAGACCCCCCCTTCAAAACCGGAGCGAAGTGCAGAGCAAGAACTCGACCCACCTGAGCAGCCCAGCTTGCGGACAAACCAATTTTTTCCCTCAATTTCACCATCTTCTTTACTAACCGTTCATCTTTCAACACAAAATGGTACCACTATTGCCCTCCCGATATTTCCAATTGTGCCTACAAAGCTAAACACAATTATAGGCTCACCGAATTATAACCCAAATAGCACTAGTGGGTTCCCGGGTCCTCGGCCGCGCCTTTGTGGAAGCCTGGCGGCAGGCACAAGCAACTCAAAAATATGCCAAAGCAACCGCCACGGCGGGCGCAAACACAACATTAAAAGCTCATGCAGGATTAACTCTGGACGAAGCCTGCCGCATACTCAACGTCAAACCGCCACATAATGGAGTGATCGACGAGACAATACTGATGGAGCGATTTAAGAAGCTATTCGATGCCAATGAGCCCGGGAAAGGCGGGAGTTTCTATTTGCAGAGCAAGGTCTTGAGAGCGAGGGAAAGGATTGAGAGCGAGGTCCGAGAGGCTGGGGAAAAAGCGAGGAGGGCTGGGGAGTTGGAGAAGGGCTGGAAGCCAAAAGTGTATAAGTGATGGGGGTTATGGATTTGCTTGTGTCTCTAGGAGTGAATAACTGTGGGTAAGGGATATGCTACTTCTTTTTATTCACGACTTCTGTTTTTTCGCTTTTTTCTTTTTCTTTTCTTTCCCTAATTGCTGGGAGTTCGGGCGGGGGAAAACGTAGAAATGATAGATTTTGAACTCTCTACTTTACCTTGTGTATATATATTTGCATGTGTTGCCAATGCCGGCAAATACATACATCACCAGTCGCGCTAATTTATGAGCCTAAGATTTGATTTTTCTTTTCCAGAGTCAATTCCTTTGTATTAACTAGCTCTTGACATGTAACATGAACTAATGAAAGAAGAACGCGGCGTATCTCGTCTAATGGACTCCGTTTATGTAGCACCCGCAATGCTAAGATCACGTATCTCCTGTAGAACTTGCTCCACCCTTTGGTCAAGGTGGCCTTGTGCGTATTGTTCCCTGGTATTCGGGTCGAGGTATTGTTGGACTTGAGCCATTCTGGAGTATGCCTCGGCGCAGACTGTGGAGTGCAAGGGTCAGTCAATCATGTCTGGAGAGTAGTTCGGTGGGAGGCTTACATCTGAGCTGAATTTTCACGAGCGCTTCGAATGAAGGGTCGAGATAAGGTACTCGGAGGTCGATCAACTGGGGCAATTCCGTAGTAAGCTGATCATTGAGGGCTTCATAGACATCGCGGGCCATCTGGGCTTCTTTCTCGGTCTATAATGAGTGTCAGTACAGCGCCAAGTCCCAGAAGTGGTTGAAAGGCGACATACCCTCGGTAACTTCCCAGGGTCTTTGTCGGGCTTCTCTACTAGCTTTTTGACCTTTGCCCGCATCTGGTCGTAATCAAGGAGTTTGTGATTCCTCTTTTTTATACCTAACGCACGACCTCATTAGTCATAGCCTAGCAGCAATGACCTCGGGGGAGTAGTCTCAAACATTCGTTGATATCCGGAAAGTAAGCGCAGAATCTAGAGATAGGTTCTAAGACAGTGGTCCTGTAAGGGCCGTCCAGAGCCTTGATAGTCTCGGCATCGAGCTCCTCCACAGCTTGCTTGTACGAGCGGCTGACTCCGTCTCGGGTTCCGGCATCGCCGTAAAATGCGTCGATCGTCTCGGCAATCCTCATTTGTGAGGCAGTCATAGCTACAATGCAATGTTAGCTGATAGTATTTCCAAAACAAAAATAACCTCAAATCCTACCTCGCAAGGCATCTAGATAGCCCTTTGCCTCCTTTTGCAGCTTTGTCGCGGCGGCTTCCATCGTTCTGAACCGTCGCTCCTCAACCTCGTAGTCGCGATCGTTCGTCT